TTTCTATATGGCCAGCGCTATTCTTCATATTGACGGTATGGTAGTAAACAAAGAACAGAGACGGCTTTGAGTCACAATAATTTACTTTCTCTATGGCTCTTCAATTGTTTAACATCTCGAACAAAATCTAAAAAGCTTTCCACTCCTTATCTAGCTTCCATATTCCAAATTAACTGGCACTGTTAATTGGTTAGCCTTCAGAAACAATTGACAACTGCCTTTACTTCTGGTATACTTTATTTAAATACTGGTACTTTTATTACTTTCTGCGTTGATTCTTGAGTTTATAGAGCAAATGCTGTGTGATACTTGCAATACTTTCGTCTCAGCTTCGACTAATAATGCATTATTTATTTTTTTTGTAAAAAAATTCTTTCCATTAGAAGTTTTATTTAATGGCGAACACCTGAGGATTCATTAACCGGATCGGAGCGAACGCATAATAAATCAGAGTTGGATTTGATGCAATTAAATCTCGACTATGCAACGGAGTTCCGAAAGTTTGAGTCGTCGGAAGTTTTTAATCAAAGAACCGGCGAGAGCGGCGCGTGATTCAATTTTGAGCCGCAGAAGGCCCTATTGTCCTCCTCGGTGTTATGCAGCCTCTTGCATGCAAACTTAAAATTACGTTGTTATCAAGTTAGGTGGCCTTTTCTCGAATCTCGTCCCTCCAGCCATTCCCGTCAAGTCATTTCCTATTGTCTAGGAAAATGGATATCCATTTTCTTTTGCTGATTAAAGATTAGGATTTAAACAAAGGTGATTTAGATATTTTTTCCCTCAATATCTAAGAAAGGATGATAATAATAATTACAAAAAATTCCGAGGGATTCAAACAATCTAAAAAAAAAATATAGAAAAGTGGATTGGTTTATAAACTAGATACAAAAAGCGAGCTTTGGCAATCTACATGCATGTAGACTAATGAATTTAAACATTTGAAGATTCTATTATAGACTGCGATCGCGAAACTGACAAACATAAGAGAAAAAAAAGAATGAAAGGCAAACTACAATGAAGTGTGTTTGCATGATAGTAGACAAACTTTCAAGTCTTACAAATAAATAGAAGATAATCAATAACAATAACATTAAAATAAAGACCAAAAAGGCGTAGGTTAAATATGAACTATGATAATGAACGTTTAACTGAACAGCTACAACTGTAAAATATATACAGATTCGGTTCTAAAAGGGAATAATTTGACACAGCTTGATAAAAAGGTGATAATTTATAAATGTTTGAACTTTAAAGTAAAATATATTATTTAAAATGAGGTTTAAGATAATACATGTGATTTGAGACCCATTCAATAAACAAATTGGATGTAATCAGTTAATTAAGATTTAATGACAGTCATTGGCTCTTTAGAAATTCCGACTGGATAAAGTTTGGATAGTGGTATGCCATGATTCAACTTACTGATGGCTTTATATAAATCAGTATACCTGACTTTTTTGTCCATTGTCTCACACAAGAACTGTGTAAAGCAGAACAAATGTGTATAATAGATCGTCCTGTTGTTTAATTATAATAACATTGCATTGAAAGGAAGATAATCATAAAATGTTTTTGAGAAGTTACACAGAATAGTATTAGGCCTATAATTACATTATTTATTCTGGTTGCCTTTTAAAAACCAGTGCACATCCCACAAAGCATCCAGATAGTTGGGAAAGTACCCGATGGCACCATTAGATTGAAGACATTTTGTAAAGATTTATAAACAATTTGAGCAGTCTTTAAGTAGAAAGGAAGGAATGAAATCAAATCATGTCCGGTAGTTGTTTTTGAATTACCAAATTTGAGCAATAAATTAAGTTGATCGTAGTGTATGGTGCTGACGCAATATAATTTTCAGCGAAAAAGCTGGCAAAATAATCAACTTTGACCTGGGAATTTACCGAACCATCATTGTTACGTGATATATTGGCTGTAACTGGCTGAAATTATTTTGATTTGTTTTAATGTTTTCTTCAGAGGTCTTTAAATTGTTTTGTACGCAGAGTTAGACAAAGATCTAACTTCAGCTTTAATACTTTGTAATTGAGGGCCTTGAAATAAAAGAAGTATGTGATTTTTTTTTGGATTGCAGATAATAGCATAAAGGAACATTTAAAGTTAATGTTTGTTTGATGCGAAACAGATTCAAGTGATATACTGACCTAGACTGACATCTTTTGGTGAGTAGAAATACTATGTGAAGAATTCCTACAGTTGGTGAGAGCAAAACAGGTACAAGCGTCCCTTGTACCCTTTTTATTCCAAAAAAAATTCGGTTTCAGCCATTATTTAATTAGTTGTGAAATGTACATGTTACCGACACGCTAAATAAAGACTCAACAGATACTTTTGTAATTTGTTTCGACCTGCAACAGGCTTTATCAACTCCATTTTTAACCACCTCAAATTCCTTTTACCTAAAACAACTGTGGACTTACAACTACTGTATACATAACCTCGTGACAGGAAAGTTCGAGATGTACGTTTGGGATAAAACAATCACTTCCCGAGGCTCACAGGAAATTGGGTTATGTTTGATTCATTATATAACTAATGCAATTCCTCAAAATATTACAAACAATATTGCAATTATTCTTAAGCTTTTCATGTACTTGGTAAAAGCTACAAGATTTCAAGAAATTCACCGTAAGTTTTTGGAACCAGGCCATACATTTATGAAGTGTAATCAGGATTTTGGTATTATAGAAAAGGTAAAACGAAAGAATCCTTAGGTCTTTATTTCAGAACACTGGAGACAAAAAATAAAGAGTTTGTGCAAAAAATTTATGGTTCATGAAATGGACAAAAAAGCTTTCTTTAGCTTTTCTAAGTTGAATAATATTAGCAACCCAGCAAAGAAACAGAAAAACATACTATTAAATGGAGAGAAATTCAATACTTCTGTTTTCCAAAGAATTCAGAGACATGCTGCTTTTTTATAAAAGTACTCTGGAATCAGAGTTTCCATGTAAAAAAAGCTTATGTCCTGCTAAAGCAGGTGAAAGACCGAAGTTAGCATTAAAGGATATGTTTACACAGTTACACATAGATGATTAAAAAATGAATGAGCTAAATTGGAAAAATTTGCAGACTCTATTGGAGTACATTCCTCCGGTTTACCATGAATATTATAACGTCATGCAACATGTGAAAAAAAAAATAGAAACAAAAAAACTAAAGCCAACTAGAAAGAAACCCAAACTGACGAAGTAACTGTAGCTGAACTAGAATCACAGGATGATGACGTAGAAGAAGAAAATGATGAAAATGAGAATATAGACTTTATTTTGTACTCCGATTACGAATAATGTTTATAAGTTTGTGTATTTCATAAAATAAATTCCTATTTGTATACTTAAGATTTTTTTGCGAACAAAAAATATTGGGATAAAAAGGTATAAGTACTTTTTGTAAATTGTAGCATATTTCTGAAAAAATTTTTAATTTATCCTGTTATAATATTAAAATATATCATTCATTTAGGAAATAAAAAATTTTAAATAAACATCCCAGTTCTTTTTAGGAACTTTTAAATGTTGTTTAACTTTAAATGCAAATATCTCAGAATAATTTAAAATGCACTTATACCCCTTAAGGCCCTTAATTATTTCATGCTTAAACTTCAAATTAGGTTTTTTAATTATTTTAGAGTTGAATCAGTAAGTTTAATGATTTTTCGGTGGTTTCGATTAGTGGGTGGCGTTTTCTGGGTTTTCCTCACCTGTAAGTCAAATCAATTATCTTTAAGTCGCCCACTGCAAATAATAATAATAGCCGTCCCTTCCCCTACACAAGTCACTCGTGAGGAGGTGAATTAAGGGGAGTACTATTAGGCATTCCAACGACCTGCCAAACAATACCTGCCAGTGGGAAGGTCTCGTATATCTAAGGAGGTAGCGACATAGTCTTGCATCTTGGACGCTATTTTTATTCGAAATATCAGTCGCCAATCCTGCCAGTTTTTAAAAAAATGTACAAGCAGTTTTTTTAATTATTATTTTTATAGTGTTCGGTATAAAATAATTAAATGTAATCCATTATTCATGATTTTACGTATTGTAGATAGAATACATCGTATGTCGCAACCGTCAGATCTACCAAACCTGCCCACTGGCAATTCATTTGTTTGGAATGCCTAATTATTATAATATTATTCTCTTTAAATGAACGTTTTCGTCTGCACTGCCAAACTGATATAGATAGTTTTAATTAACTGTGAAAAGATTTAAGCTGGTAAAATGTGCATTTTATAAATTATATTCTTTAGAACATGATGGAGTTAATGTTTTTAGAGTAGTCCTATTGGAAATATTAACATCAAGGGCAGGATGTTGTGGATCTACTCGCAAGAGTTCAAATGTTTTAGAGACAGTACATTCATTATTGTTTGAGAGAACACGGTCAAAGTATTCTGTATATTACATTTAGGGTGTCAATCAGAATTTTAAAGAAATCATTAAATATTGTATATTTTTCATAGATCTCTTATTATGCCTGCTCTAAAATCAGCGTATTTATTTAAATTGAATTCGTCAACATTTTGGTAGTAGGTCGTAGACCAAGGTCACTTTTATAGTCTAATTAGTATGTTTCAAATCACAATGTCGCATTTTTAAATAAATGTCAAAATACACTGTCACATACAGAGAACCACGCTCACAAAGCTTCCAGTTTAACTTTCACCACATGGTAATGAGTTCTAATAAGGAAAAAACCTGTCTAAGAATGTTATTAAGATTAATTTTCTATCTCTATTATTTTTCTTTGAATATTATTCAATGCCTGTTGCAATATTAGTCAAAGCAGTAGTTGTTTTTTGAAGGGAAAGGCTATCTTGTGTTACCTACGTTTTGGTCACATTTGAGTTTGGAATTAATATCCCTTTTTGATTTAGAAATAACTCAGCTTGAGATGGGATTCGAACCCATGATCCATGGAACATCAACATCATAACCATTAGATCCTTTCACTGTTTCTTTACAATTCTTTAATTTCAGCTACCGTATCTATATGGAAAATACTGATGGAATAGAAAATAGAGAGTTTTCCAGAACTCAAACTCGATTATTAGTAAAAGTCCTGCTTCTCGGCCATCAACATTCTGTTATTCAAGAGATATTTTCGAATCGTTTTACATTATAGCATCATTAACCTGATACTTAGGGCGTCAAAGACTCGTAGATTTTAGCTTTAATCTCAAATATATAAAAGTATCTATCATTAAATTTTAAATGAAATAACAGCTAGTATTCTAGTATTCAAGGAACTTTTTACCTTATCCTGGTAATATTCCTTTTCCTGCTACTTTCGGTGAGTACATTTTTCTCCATACCGTTGTTCCTGATAAAGCAAATGTATTTTATTATTGACATTGCCTGTCTAGTTTCATCCAATACAAATGCGTTTTCTGTTGAAAAGTATTATTTGCTATCCATTAAAGTAATGAATAGGTATAAAAAGGAGAGTAGGTACCCGCCAGAAGCTTAAATAAATCCGATTTCTACGTATTTGCCTGGAATTTATATTGGGATAATGTAGTTAGGTACAAAAAAGTTACGAAAATATCCTCTTTTTATTTTTCTTATTAAAAGTAGATGTATGTATAAATCAGTATTCTATCGAAGAAAAAATAAAAATTATAATCCGAACCAATAAAAATTCGCTATTGCATGGGATACCGAACATGAATTGGTAAGAAAAAAATATTATACTAGTATTTATCATCAGTTTGGTAGTATTTAGTTAATTTTCTAGTCATTTTTTAATTTTCATGGTTAATTTTAGGATTGTATACGTGGCATAATAAAAGTAAGTAATTCTTTTAAATTTATACAATATTCAAATTTCAAACCTAGTGGACTATCGTTACGATAAGGGCTCATGACCTTCAAGCACACCTACACCGATATTCTACACCGAAACTTTCAGTGCAGTAGCGACCGGCACGGGCGGTGGTATCGAAATCGTGAATTTATAATTACTATTATTCTGTTGTTCCTGTTATTTTGTTTAAATATTTTTATTGTTGACTATTTTCTGATTTTTTTGTGCTTTAATGACAGTGTGAGTTATGGAAGAAGACAAAAAAAGCTGGATTTGTTTGAAGTTATAAAGACTGCAAAAATAAATCTTATATCGGTGCACATTCATTTTACAGATTTCCTCAAGACGTTGAGAGGTAATATAAATAAAGTATAATATATAAGTCAAATACAGGGTATTTTAAATTAGCTGTATTTTCTGTATCTTTAATCTAAGGGAGGGTGGGTTGCCCCACAGTACTTAGGGTATATCCTAATAATAGTATATTATGCAACGATTATGTATTAATAGCCATTACATAAGAGTTGCATACCCTATTTTTTCTACGACCAAGAACCAGTTCTTCAATCGAAAATGGAATAATTTAAAACATTTTAATGCTTTTAATCCCCCAAAACCTTAGATAATCTAATTTGTTGTGACTACTTGTTAAGACAACTATATAATAAATCTTTTTTAATTTCCCAAAAGTGTTTCGGATTTTTTGCGCTATAGCATTTAGACTTTCTCTTTTTATATGATAGCAATTTTGGGTATTCTCTCACATACCAGTTTTATGTTTAATATTCATTTGTGTTTTTAAAATGGAGTAACAAGTATTTCAATTTAGTTGTTCAAAGCAACACATTTTTAGAAAAGGATGATACTTTGTTAGCTTCCAGTCTAAATGTTAATTATACATTTTATACCTTCAATTTCGAGTAGTGTACATGAAACATTATCGTTGCTGGACATATTTTTTCAAATTTAAAATATCTAGATATATCAAAATAATTGTCAAAAACTATTTGGGGAAAATAACTGGATGCTTACATGATTATTACAAAATATAAGTTTCTATTGATCAATTTAGTTTCATAATGAAAAACCAGTGCTATAATGAATGTCATTATGAAACTGAACAATAACATTTAATTAACAAATGATAATGCATAAAGAGAAAATAATGTTTACATGCTGGTTAGCAAGAACAACGACGCAGTTAAAAGTGGTCGATTTGACAGTATTTATTTATTTTTAAATCGTTTGGGCGCGAGTAATATACAAAAATATCTTTTTTTAAGAATCAAAATGTTTCTTTTTTGACCTACAAAACTAAATTATCTTTAATATTTTCTTGTTATGATACATTTTAGGTAATTTTCAGAATTTAAAACCAATGCCAGGTAGTAATGACCTATCAAAACTGAATTATTTCTAATAATTGCTTGTTTTGGCATTTCAATATTTAATCTCCAATATCTTTCTATAATTACCTACTCTAATTATACCCTTATTGTTTAAAAATACCTTAATGTAATAATTGCTTGTTATGATACAATTTAGGTAATTTTCGGCATTTCTATATATAATCTCTAATATCTTTCTGGAATTACTCTAATCATACCCTTATTATTCATACATACCTTAATGTTTATTTTATTAAATCAATAAAAATAATAATCTATTTTTTGATTAAACTTTATTGTAGTAAAACTCTTAGGACCAAAATTTTTAATGAATATACTAATTAGAAATAAATAAAAAATTATAATTATCGCGCCCAAATGTCCGGTTTCGATCTCAAAATGTAGTTAATTTAGGGTCGATCTTTCACCTGTGAGTCAGATTAAAAAACGATAACCGTATAGTTATCTCAAAATTTATATTCTAGCCCAGACAATGGAAGTCTTAGACTATCTGGTTAAATAAAATGAAAAATAAGTGTAAATTTTTTTCAGAGCGAAATCTTGGCTCTTAGCGTGTTATAGACCAGATTTATTATACAAAGTAGGTACTCTTCACAAAAGCTATAGAATTTTTCTTCATGGATGTTCCAAAAAGAAAAGAGACAAATGCTGCGAAAAGATGCTGTTCCACTTAAATTCGTTTCAAGTGGCATCATTGACGAGGCAGTTCCAAGTGCAGCGACTTCTAGCACTAAAACCTCTCAAGTGCCATGTACGCGTATTTTATATTAGCTTTTGGAACCATCAGCTTCAACCATTGGCAACTCTTCCAATAAGGCAGAATCGATTCAGCGGTCTCCAATACGTTTTCCTTCACGGAATGTCCAAACATCAGAGGAACTAACTTTTCGAACCCCAAGAAAGGAAAAACTAAGGGACATCAACAATGCCCTGAACTTTGAGAACAAAGCGTTGAAAAGAGACAACCAGGTTCTTCTCAATAAACGTAACATTCTTGAAAAGAAGCTTCAAGAAAAATGGGAAGACATAATTACTTTCGAACCGTACAAAACTTGTACGTGTTTACTGTGCCCATCCAAAGAACTCGCAGAATTTATTAATGTTCAGATTACCCAAAGCATGAAATCAGCTAAAGGTCGAAGGTATTCTGACGAATTTAAATTTAAGTGTTTATCACTTTATTTCTCTGGCCCAAAGGTTTATAAAATACTTCTAACTAAATTTTGTTTGCCTGCCTGGGTCGCAATTCCTTAGAATCTTATTATATGAGATATACATCCCACCAGGTTTGAGAGTCTCCAATGTGTTCAAAACACTTAAAATTAAAGCTGACAATTTTAATGAAATGGACAAATATTGTGTACTGTGTGTGGATGAGATAAGCATAAAGGCAAATTTTTTTTTGTAACCGTAGTGCGGATTGTGTTGTAGGCGTGGAAGATACCGGCAATGGGAAGAGAGTATTTAAACCAGCAAGAACAGTCACCGCCTTGTTGGCCAGGGGGATTTTCTCTAATTGGAAGCAATTTTTAAGTTATTTTTTTTTAGAATAGTACATGCCCTGGTTTAGAGTTAAAGTATATAGTTTTTGATGCTATTAAAAAGTTAAGGAATATTGGTTGTTATCGTGATATGGGCTTCAATAATATTCAATGTAAAAACTTTTTGCAAATAACCCTTGAGAGACCTTATTTTATTTTTGACGATCAAAAAATTTTTTTTGTGTTCGATACACCTCACCTCATCAAGGCTATGAGAAACATGTTACTGAAACATACTTTTCTTGTTTCTAATAAAATAGTTTCTTGGTCATATATTACGCAATTTTATAATATTGATAAGTCGTTAGTTACTAGATCAGCACCTAAACTAACTGATTCGCATATATTTCCTAGTAATTTTGAAAAAATAAAGGTAAAATATGCAAGTCAGGTATTCAGTCTTACAGTTTCAGCGGCTTTAAATGTGTACGTCGAATAAGGTAACTTGTCTAATGAATTCCAGGCAACTGCTGATTTTATTGATAAAATCGACACATTATTTGATATTTTAAACTCATCAAAAACATCAGACGGGAAGAAATATAATTTGGAGTTTAAGGGTCTTGACTTTCAACTGACATTTATAAATGAGATGTTATTGCTGTTGGACAACTTAAAAGTTTTTAATTACCTAGGCGAGGATGTAACTAAAAAAATGAAATTTTAAAATAACAATTAGCTCCATTCTTCATTTATGGGATTTTTTTAAAACAAAAAAGTTTCTTTTTACTAGACGTTTAAACCAAGATCCGTTAGAAAATTGGTTTGTCTTATAAGACAGAAAAATAGTAGTTGTGCTAATCCAACAGTCATTCAATTTTAAAGAACCTTTAGAAAGTTGTTCTGTATAAAGCTATTCAATTCAGGAACCCAAAAGAATTACATGTATAATAGGCTTCTGCGAGTATCTGGGATACAAATTCATTCGTAGCTCGTACAAATCCCCATACATCAAATTTTCCAGAAATTGATAGCAGTTATTAAAAAGAATCCACGTTAGAAATGAATTTCGAAAGGTATTTTGCGGGTTACCTACTGAAAAAATGCCTATCTATAGATTCTTGTACAATTTGCGAGGAATATTCAGAAGCCTATCAAAATTTGGACGAAACATCTTTATTCTGTTATTATAAAGCTTATAACAGCTCCAATTTAGATTTATTTGGTAACTTAAACATGCCACATAATGATTTTGTAAAATTTATATCCTTTTTAGAGGTAATATTTCAAATAAATTTTGAAACTATTATTATACACAA